GGGGGTGGGGTGGGGCGCGGGGCGATTGGTTTGTACTTGAACGCGGTCTAGGACGCCAAGGCACGGCAAGTGTCAACGCAGTGCTGTGAACGTACCATTTGCTCCTGGTGATTGGGCCTGGTGGCGAGCGCACGCCCCAGCATGGATTTTCTTGCATGGATTTGTGCTTGCATGGGTGCAGGGGTGGGGGAGGGCGGGGGGCCTGACGCTGGCAGGTGCTTCGTGTTACCCAGGGGCACCATCTTTGTTAAGGCTTTGGCAGCGGTTCCATCCTTGACGCTCAACCGCAAACTCAAGACACTAGGCATACGAGTCAGCACTTGCAACAACGCATGGATGGAGGTGGTTGCCTGCAAACGAAGCATGCAAGTCAGATGACTTTTTCCGGCAAATAGGTGTGGCTTCCACCCTGCACAGGTGCATGCATGCAAGATTTGAGCCTTTCTTAGTGCTTTGTTTTGATAACTCGCATTTTGTTCCACTATTATTGAGTATTAGTCATTCACAGCGTGTAATTGAGCATTGTTCTCTTCGGTCCTTTTGGATGTCGAGCTAGATCAAGGCAGAGCACAGCTGCAGGGAGTTACACAGGCCCGGGTCCCAATGGCTGGAGCCACAGGTCGAGTGGGCTTTCCCGCGGTTCCAAGAACGCGGCCGCCAGGCTTTCCAGCAGTGACAGCCGCTCCTTGCGCCGCTGCAGCTCTGCCACTGCCGCCTGCACGTCCGGGTGCTGCGGGGGAGTCAATGGGGGGGTGGCATGCAACGTCAGGGTGCGGCTCTGTGTATTTGAAGCAGGCTATGTTACGCAATTCGTCCCTGGAAGCACAGCGCCATCCATGCGCGTTGCAGCTTGAGGCAGCGTTTGCCACTTGGAAGGAGCTGTGCGCATTTGCACGCATGCATGCACGCAGACGAGCACGCACGCACGCACACACGCACGCGCACACACACACACACACACACACACACTCACAAACACACACACACACACACACACACTCTCTCTCTCTCTCTCTCTCTCACACAGATGTACACCTGCACAAGCTGCAGCAGAGCAGTTCAAGCTCGAGTATGAGTGAGCCCAAGACCCGACCCACCTGGTTGCCCAGCCCCTGCTGCTGCTTCAGCGCCCGGACGTGGTCAGCCTGCTGCCGCACGCCGTCGGCCGCCGCCTGCAGGCTCCCCTCGTCAGGCAGCTGCGCCGGCTGAACACGCGGGAACCCAGGGCGGCCCAAGGCGCCGTCGGAGGGGAAGCGCCAGCTGTCAAAGAGCAGCGCCACCCCAACCGGCGAGTCTGCGTGCACCATTGGAAGCACGGGGTGAAAGCCAGCTGGGCGGTTGGGCGTTGTATTTGGGATGTGAGGCATAGGCGTGGTTGACAACTGCGTGCAGCTCAAGGAAGAGCAAGCGTGGCGACGCGCTTGGGGCCGCACCGTTGGGGGCTGTGACAGGGCAGATCACCAGGAGATCCACGATCAACTCAGACGAGCTAGTGCTGCCGTCGTCGCTGCTGCCGTCGCCGCTACTGCCGTCGCCGCTGCTGCCGTTGACGCCATTGGCGCCGCGCATGCCTGCGCCTTGAGCCTCCAGAGGAACTGGGTCCCACGCCACGGCCTGAGCTGCGACGCACTGCGCGGCTGCCACCACCTCCACCATCGCTGCGCGCCCTGGCAGCCGCACCCGCGTGGGCTGCGCAGGGTAGCCTGCGTCCCCTTTACTGACAGAGAGCGCCGCTGCGGCCGACGCGTTTGCGTATAACAGCTGGCCTTCGGCGCCCACGCACCGGCCAGCAGCGGAGCCGGGGTCGCCACCCGGCGCCGCCACGGCACCGACTACGGCCACCGCGCAGCCGAGGCGCTCGGCGGACTGTAGAGCGTCCAGCAGATCGGTGCTCTCAGGAAGCAGGGGCCTGGCAGGGTGGACCCGGACGCACGGCGTTCTTGCTGCCCTTGGGGTTGAGTGTTTGTGGGGGCCCAGGGAGTGCTCGGGCGCGCATGCCAGGCCCCGAGGATGGGTCAACCCCCGAAACAAGCGGCTGCTACGTGCCCGCCTGGAATCAGCCCCCACCTGCTCGTGCGCCTGCGCAGGTTTTCGTTGAGCAGCAGCAGCATTGAGAGCGCTGGCACGTCTGCGCCATGCTGCTGTGCGCTTGCTGCTGCCGCACACATGCTTACGCTCCGGCGGCTGCACCGCCGGTGCAGTGCAACTGCGGCATGCAGAACGCGTTGACTACAGCCCATTCCTGTCTTTTCAGTGCCTCTGCTGCGCCATATTTCGCGTGCCGTCGGTTGCATGTTGGTTTTGGGGGGCGTTTTGATGGTTGATCGTCGATGAAGGTGTGAAACGAAGGCATTACAATCGAAGGGACGCGCTGCATTATCTGTGTCCCTCGTGCTACGGGTCACCAGAGATCTGGGACGGTGACCCGTCTTGCGGTGAAGAACGGCGCGTCGTGCGACGCACAATTAATTTCTGAAGCAGTCTCACAATCCTTGTGCAGGGCACTGCCCCATCATCTTTGCGTTCCGCACAAATGCCGGTGCTGGGATCTCGCCTTGAGGCACCGACCATTGCCGCGTCCGGCTCGCCGATCCCGTGCCTGAGGCCTGCTCGTAGTGCCCGGCCGTGCGGCTTGCCCTCTGCCGCAACTTTGTTCGCACGCCCGGTGCTCAACAGGCGGGCCAGCCGCTGCGGCGACCTCGCCCAGGCCGCGAGCGGCGCCCAGCGGCTGTGGACGAGGCGTGCCTCCATTGTAGCGATGGCGGCGGCGGGCGCCAGCAGCAGTGACCTGCTGATCGTGGGGCCGGGGGTGCTGGGAAGCTACGCAGGCAAGCTCTGGCTCGAGTCGTTCCCGGGGGCGACGGTTGTGGCGCAGACCAACACAGAAGGCAGCCACGACAGGTGCGCATGCAAGCTTCCCAGGGTGCGCGGCAGCGGCGCCGAGCCCTGCCCGCAGTGCACGTGAGCATGTCGGTGGTACTTGTGGGTCAGGCTACCTCGCCCCGTTGCGGGGACGGCCGGGGGGCAGCAGTTGCAACCAGGATGCATGCGCCGCAGCAGGCAGCGTTTCTGGAGGCGTCATGCAGGTTTCGCCGTATTGCTCAGAGCTGGCGCCCCGCTCCGGCGAGCACATGACGCACACAATCAGGCAGCAGCCGCTAATGCTGCAGCTGCCCGTGGCGCCCAGCCGAATAGACGAGACACCTCACAGCCTCGGGTCGCCGACACGCTGCTTTTTCCAAACACCCGCAAGTATTGCATCGGATTACAAGTCATCTCACGCAACCTTTTTTCCTGCCAGGCTGAAAAGCTTGGGGCTGACGCCGCGCACGCGTGATCAGGCGGGTGACAGCAGGAAGTTCTCGCACGTGCTGTTTGCCGCGCCCCCATCCGGCAGCGAGGACTACCCGGCAGAGGTGAGGGCGGGCCACCGTGGGCACGTGGACCAAGGGAGGCCGGCGAGTCGGAGGCGCGAACCAAAGCAGCCCGAGCTCTACATGCCGAGGGCAATTCCAGCTCTGCCGAGGGCTGCAAGACATTCCTGGGTCATGCGCGTCACATAATTTGGCGTGTACTGCATGCAGCATGATGGCAGCCATAGTGGACAGGTTTTGCCCAGGCTGGTAGACGTGGCAAACCTTATTCAACCTTTTTCCCCAGCCATGAGCCATCTCACCTGCACACATCAACGATGACCCTGCTCACAGGTGGCGGCGGCCGCCCAGCTGTGGGACGGCACTGGCAGCTTTGTGTTCACCTCCTCCATGTCCGTCTGCGCCGCAGAGGATGGCAGTGAGGTCAGCGAGGAGCGCTGCCCCTTGGTGCCCCAGGGCAAGTCTCCCAGCACAGACCGGCTGCTTGCCGCTGAGGCCGCGGCGCTGGCTGCAGGCGGCAACGTGCTGCGGCTGGTGGGGCTGTACCACGCGCAGCGCGGGCCGCATACGTTCTTCATCAAGCAGGGTGAGGTGGCGCGGTACGGCGGGTACACGGTCAACATGCTGCACTATCAGGACGCGGCGGGCCTGGCAGCAGCCATCCTGCGCGGCGACGGCGCGGCCGACGGGGCGTACCGCGGGCGTGTGTTTGTGGGCGCCGACAACCACCCGCTGACCTTCCAAGAGATGGTAGACGCGTGCTTTGCGTCAGGGCTTTTCAGCGGGGCTGTCAACTTCACGGCGCCTGCCCCTGTGGGCGGCGTCGGGCTTGGGAAGCGGGTGAACAACAACGTGACACGGCAGCAGCTTGGATGGGCGCCAGAGTTCAGCAGCTTTCGGGAGTTCTTCACGGTGAACAAAGGCATTGATTTTTACACCTCAAGTGGTTTGTTCTAGCAATCCAGCTTGATTATATAACATTGCTGCCTTTGGTCTGGCGCAATGTAACAAGCAAACAGCATTTCCAGCAATGACACTTCAATTTGTGCCTGATCACTAATCGGCAACTCTGAAGAATTACTTGCAGTGCAGCTGCGCTGGCAAATTTCTTTGCATCTGCCATGCAACTGTGAAAAGCGGGGTGAGGCCGAACCCCATCTAACACCACACGGCGCTTTTTGCTTTGCGTCGTTACAGAAAATCAGGCTTAGAGCTTGTGGCCACTCACCGAGAGCAAGGATCTGACACACAGGTACCAGGCAGGGTTGCGGCCGCGGGAAACCCCCGAGAAACCGCCATATTTCAAGCCACAACGCCGCAACCCTTCCCCCAACCTCAAAGTCGTTCGGGGCAGAGGGGGGGGGAGCCCGGCACCACGCGCAAAAGCGGGGACCCATGCATACACTGCGAGCGATCAAAGCAGGGCACCGGGCGCGCCAACCCGCAGAACGCTCACGGCCACAGCGACCGCGGCTCCGGGGTGTGCACCACCCATGCAGAAACCCCTGGCCAATTGAGAACAGGGTTGGCTTCACACAAGGGCCCCGTTGCCCCTGTGCTAGAGGACAGGTCTTGAAACACACGCACTCCAACGCCCACACGGCAGGGCCCAGGCCCCAAGACGGCCCGCTGAGCGAGCGCACTCCAAAGGGTTCACACGAGGAGAGAAAAGCAACACACACCCCACAGATCCAGCACGCCACCACCGCGCGCCATCCAAACGTACGCCGCAGTCACCGACGCGCGCCAAGCACCCCGCCGCCACCACTACCCCCAGCGCCGCCGCCCCCGCCGCTCCCACCAGCCGCCGCCGCCGCCGCAGCCCGCGCCATCCGACAAGCTCCCAGCCTGAACTCGAGGCACGGCTAGCTGCGCGCCGGCCGCCGCTGCTGCGTGCGCCACCCGAGCAACCACCCCGCCGCCACATCACCGCAGCTCAAACCCAGACAAGCTCAAGGGCTGGCCCCGGCCTGGGAACCACGAGGGGCTCGCGCCGGCGAGCTCAGGGGCGTCAGACTGGGCGCTGTGCCAGTCCGCGCGCACCGCACGTTGCACGCCGTCGATGACATCATCGACGACGTCAGCCGCTGCAAACTGCTGTCCCGTCACCTGCCGCCGGCAGCGCAGGCGCCACGCCGCCTCCAGGACCGCAAGGCGTAGGTGCGCCCACAGCTCCCCACTGCCCGGGGCCGGCCGCCAAGTCGCAGGGCTGTCCTGCGGCCACACCTCGGGCGACAGAGGAGGGGCGGGCCCGGCCCCACACAACCGCGCCAGCCACTGCAGCGCCAGCTGCA